TGTGTGTGTGTGTGTGTGTGTGTGTGTGCGCGCGCGCGCGCGCGCACGCGTGTGCCCTTGTATAGGACCAAATTATAATGAAAGGCATGTTACCATATGAAAGCCGTTCATATAGTGGAAAGGGCTCTAAATTAGCGATTCTGGAGACCCTGAGTGGAGACTCTGCCTCTAATTAACAATGTGACTTTGGGTTAGTCATTTGCCCTTATGATCTGAGTTTCTTTATTTGCAAGGTTAGGGAGTTTCAGTCAATAATTTTTAGGGTCTTTTCTAGTATTATGAGTTGAGGAAGAAAACATTTTGTACAGAAAATGTATACTGTAGCAAGATTAGTCAAACAAACAGTAAAAGAAAAATTTAACTTTAGGCCATAGTGCTTATTTTTAGTTTTTTACTTTAAGTTTGGTTCTCATCAACTGCCAAAAAGAAGTTAGGTAACTCCCAAACCTGTCAGCTTCTTAACCTGTCTTATGCCACATTGTCCTTCTTGCATATGTCTTTGTTAGGATGTTGGGATTTATGGGCTAGTGCCTGCTCCCACTCCTGTGAACCAGTCATTTGGTGGCTAGTACAAGGGCTTCTTCTGATTCAATCTGTAGTGTGACTTTAGTTTTATTCTTCAAGTATGATGAGAGATTGGTTAGAATCATTTACTTTCTCAAAGGAATGCAGTAGGAACACATCAGCATCTTGTCCCCCATCATCCTTCTGAATTTTTCTGAACTCTGTATCTAAGTTCATTTTGATTTAAGTATTTCTTGAGATGTCAGAAATGCCAAATTTAACATCTAATAAATGTCGTCATTGGAGACTTTATGCAGTAAGAAGTATTTCTTACAACCTAAAAGTGTGAGAGGAGACAAGCAGAATATTTACTGTGCATTTCTTATCTACTTCCTATTGAATTTTTCTTTAGATATTCAGTGCATTCTGATTCACTAATGAGGCTATGCTTTGAGATTTCATGCTTAGATCCCACCCTTCTTTCGTAGCAAAACTAACAAATTAATTCATTTGGGATTTGTTAATGTGCCTTATTACCTTTGCTTTTTGTCTTCCATCATTTAAAGAAGTCCATTCACTCTTCGTTCAACCAGTAGTTACTAGGCTCTTCTACGTGCCAACCATTACCCAGGTATTGTGACTACAAAGATGAATAAAGCAATGAAATATTTCATTATTTGAGGAGATACACATTGGGGAAGCATACTTGAAAATAGACTATCGCAACTTAATAATCACTCTAATAACTAATAAAAGGGGTTATTGGAACACAAAAAAAGAAGCCGCTAACTACATCGGTTTTCCAGGAAAAGCCTCTGAGGTGGCAGCTTTTGATTTGGCTCTTAGAAGACAGGGATGGTCTCATCAGAAAGGGCATTCCAAGAGGAATGGTGCAAAACGGGATGCTTTATATTGTGTTTCCAGTAGACCTAGATTTTCTAGGTTTGCAGTTTTCCTTCCGGTGCCTTTCCTCCCCACTGATTTTCCCTGGCCAGCATTTTTTGGGCTCTTGCTGTGTACATGCAGGAATGTGTACATGCACTGTAAATGTTCATCTCACCCACCAGACATGTCGAGTTCCTGTTATTTAATAATAAGCATGAATTTGTCAGCACACGTTTAACACCTTACTTGTGTATATGATAATTTTTCATCATACAAATGTTGGCCGTTGAATATAAGCCGTGTCTGAAATCCAAGTATCGGACTTAAGAATCTCCCATATGTCAAACTGCCATGGCAGAAATCCGTTTTGTTGGTGGTTCTGGATGGCAGATGATTCTGCTTTGGCTTCACCTCTCTGAGGAGTAGGGAACCTGACTTTTCTATGCTGCTGAGGTAGTGGTGGTGGCAAGAGTGGAATGGGAAAGAAGTTCTTCCTCCAGTTAGACTTTAGAAAGTAATGGAATTTCTCTTGTTGGGATCTGATGTGTGGAGATTGGAGATAGGAACAGGGTTTCTGGTGTACTGGATTTTAGCTAGGAAAATAGAAATAATGAAAAATTATAGTACATTATTGTAGGTCATTTGCAAACTTAACTACTACAAGGTTTATTTCTCTGGCCAAATTTGTTCAGAATTCTGATTTACAAACATTCAAAATGTGATGGTTGGGAACTGTAAGTGCTGTGTCATCGTTGATGGACATATTGCCTGTGGCTGCTGCTATCTTCCGTGTAGTGCCTTTCCCTATTGAACCTAAACCTCATTGTTTCTGTACTCTTTCTGTTAGCTGCTGCTAGGTAATGAAAATCCTAGAGAATGAAAACTGTCCTCTTCTCTCCTCTAGAATAGTTTGTAAATCCTTTCTTCCAGCTTAGGTAGGTCTTGGTCATCTCATTGTTACTTAGACATTACTATGATACCTTTTGTTACCCCAAGGCATGCATATGTAGTCACTGAGAGGTGGCTGTCACCTGTTATTTTGATCTTATTACTTGAAGATCCTTAGGTATCATGATTCTCAGTGTTCTTTAATGCAGTCATTGTCAAAGTCCCCACACCAGTTCCTGCTGCCTTTCCTAAGCGAGTGGTGCCATGTCTGTTAGGTGTGCTGCAGCAGAAAAAGTACTGAGAGCTCCCTTTTAAAAAGTGAGAAAAAGTCACATATCATGAAGTTCACCCTTTTAAAGTGTGTGATTAATTCAGTAATTTGTAGTAGGTTCACAAGCTGCGTATCGACCACCACTGTCTAACTCTAGAACATTTTTATCATCCCAAAGAGAAAATGTATCCCAGTTACTCCACATTTTCCCCTTTCAGCCACTGACAGCCACCAATCTACTTTCTGAATAGATACACCTCTTCTGGACATTTCATATAAATAGACTCATACAATATGTGGCCTTTTGTATCTGTCTTATTTTACTTAGCATAGCATTTTGAAGGTTCATCTATGTAGTACATCTACATATCAGTACTTCATACCTTTTTATAGCTAAATATTGCCATTGTATGGATATGCCTCATTTTGTCTATCTGTTCGTCAGCTGGACATTTGGGTTGTTAACACTTTCTGACTGTTAAGAAGAGTGCTGTTGGGAATGTTCTTGTGTCCATTGTTATGTGGATGTATGTTTTCAGTTCTCTTGGAGAGTAGAATTGAAGGTCATACCCAAAGCAGGGGAGAACCAATTTTGAGAAAAGACTTTATATTGACTCTGTAAAGATCTTTGTCCTTTGTCCACAGGATGTCTCAAGCCTACCTCTGGGACAGTGCTCACACCATAGTCTGTTTCAGTGATCCTGAAATACAGATTCATTGTGCGGTTCTCCTTCCCTCAAAGAGACCACTCTGACCTTTTTCTTAGGCAGCGCTTTAGGCTGGGAAATTTTTCTCTCTGTTTAAGAAAAAAGACTCTAATAGTTAGCCTCAGAAATCCTAACCACTCTATCTTAACATACAACCCCAGTTATTCCCTCTTCACCCTACAAAACAGTGTCCTCCATTGGTGTATTATGTAACTACTTCATTGTGTATGTGGTTAATGTTTATATGTCCTTTGGGTCTTTCTGGTGAATGTTTATGTGTTAGATATTATAGATTTTCTCTAGGGCAGTGATTATATTCTCCTCAGTTCCTGGCTCACTGCCAGATGTTGACAGGTATTTAATACATGGTTTTTATTTTGTTTTGGCTTGGTTTATTTATTTATTTTTTCTTTTTTTGTTGTACCCAAAAATGTACACATTTTAAGAAGTTTTCTTTCTTTTTTATGTTTTAGCCATCGAGTGTGTGCCATTACTAGAGAGAGACAGAGGGAAAGTGAGAAATCACTCCCCAGGTGGCATGGCCATGCCACAATCCCTTCTTTTTCATTCTTCCTTTGGAATTTTGGTCAGGAGTGCACATGTCAGCTGTGATTTTCAATCTGCAGAATCCAGGACTCAAACTGAGTGTGTCCATGTTGGAGCTTAGTGCCTTAGTCACCACACCACCTGCTAGCCCCTAAATTTTTCTTCTACACTTGCTAAAATTAACAAAAAAAGAAAAGAAAAAAAAAAACTTGAAGCATAATAAAGGAGAGTAGAAAAAACGTCTTATGAAAATACCAAGAGAGGCAAAGTCTTATCTTTTCAATTTTTCAGTTTCTTTCATGTGCAGGAGTCTGAGGAGAGACAGCGCTCCCAATGGGGTCTCCGTGTAGCAGTATATTCCCAGCCTTCGGCCAGTACCAGATCATGGGCAAGTGCTGGGCAAGTATGTGCCTGGCATACTCAGGGAGGTCTTTAGACTTGAACCAGAAACCTTCCTATGTGGGACTGCCTTGCAAAGCATTGTGTTTTACTGCTGCTCCACCATCTGGTCCTGGGAAGGGAAGTTTGATGCGCTGGCTGTGTTGATTCCCTGAGCAGAACTGAACAGACCCAAAAGTCACAGGCAGTGGCAGACTTTATCATTGGCTGAATCCAAGTGGAAGGTTTTGGTATTCGAAAATTGAGCTGCTAGAAAGAATAAAGTGTTTTTTTGAAATAGAAAGTATAGTGATCAAACTGGTATTTCTAAAATTGAGGAAGATATAATCTTTGAAACAGAGTTGACATTTAATTTCATTTAAACTCTTTGGTTTACATAACATGATTGTTTTATACTTGAAATTTAGTTTTTTCATGTCAATAAAAAATTATTTAGGTTAAACTGCTAATCAGGGTAACTCTTATTACTCTTCTCTCCACTCAAGCTCTTTAAAATCTGTATCTTTCATGGCCAGCAGGTGGCATGGTGGTTAGGCCACATGGTTAGGCCAGGTCCACGCCTACTTTGATTTTAGTCCTGGGCCTGGCAACTTAAAAATCCTGCCCAGGGCGTGCATGTGCATGCCCAAAATCCCGAGAGTGAGAAGAGGGATAATGGCGTGGCCATCCTCCTTAATTGGGAGAGTGGTTTCTCACTTTTCCTTTCTCTCTGTCTCCAGTGAGCACACTTGCCATGTGGCAAAAACAGAAATAAATTAGGATAATAAGTAAATAAAAAAAATAAATAAATGTGTTAGGGTCCATACATTCTAACATAATCATTCTATGGAGAGAAGTTCTTTACATTATGATGCAAGTCTACTCTTGAGTTTTTTCTGTACACTTCAATTTATAGTTTATCTGTAGAACTAATCCTATTTATTAAAAAGAAACCTTACGAAGCAGTATTATTATGGCTTATATTAAACACATCATATTTGGTGGGAAAGAAGGAGTAGTATTGAAAAACTACCTTTATACAATTCCATTTAAGGAAAAGCAATAACTCATATGAAATTTTCATCTTATATAAAGTAGATCCGTTTGCTTAGAGGTTTTTTCATTGTATGAAAAATATCCTTCTAAGTAACTGCGCTCTTCTACTGCTTTATCATGTGACTCAGATTGCAAAAATTGTACCCACATTTCACATCTTAAAAAGTTTCTTTCTTTTTTTCTTTTTTATGTTTTAGCCATCGAGTGTGTGCCATTGCTAGAGAGAGACAGAGGGAAAGTGAGAAATCACTCCCCAGGTGGCATGGCCATGCCACAATCCCTTCTTTTTCATTCTTCCTTTGGAATTTTGGTCAGGAGTGCACATGTCAGCTGTGATTTTCAATCTGCAGAATCCAGCAAACTGAGTGTGTCCATGTTGGAATCCAGTGCCTTAATCACCACACCACCTGCTAGCCCTTAAAATTTTTTCTTCTAAACTTGCTAAAATATAAATATTTGAAGTATAACAAAGGAGAGTAGAAAAATCTTGTCTTGTGAAAATACCAAGAGAGGCAAAGTCTTGTCTTTTCATGTTTTAAGTTTCTTTCATGTGCAGGAGTCTGAGGAGAGACAGCGCTCCCTTTGGGGTCTCCGTGTAGCAGTATATTCCCAGCCTTCGGCCAGTACCAGATCATGGGCAAGTGCTGGGCAAGTATGTGCCTGGCATACTCAGGGAGGTCTTTAGACTTGAACCAGAAACCTTCCTATGTGGGACTGCCTTGCAAAGCATTGTGTTTTACTGCTGCTCCACCATCTGGTCCTGGGAAGGGAAGTTTGATGCGCTGGCTGTGTTGATTCCCTGAGCAGAACTGAACAGACCCAAAAGTCACAGGCAGTGGCAGACTTTATCATTGGCTGAATCCAAGTGGAAGGTTTTGGTATTCGAAAATTGAGCTGCTAGAAAGAATAAAGTGTTTTTTTGAAATAGAAAGTATAGTGATCAAACTGGTATTTCTAAAATTGAGGAAGATATAATCTTTGAAACAGAGTTGACATTTAAACTCTTTGGTTTACATAACATGATTGTTTTATACTTGAAATTTACTTTTTTTGTGTCAGTAAAAAATTATTTAAGTTAAACTGCTAATCAGGGTGACTCTTATTACTCTTCTCTCCACTCAAGCTCTTTAAAGTTTGTATCTTTGAGGATCAGCAGGTGGCATGGTGGTTAGGCCAAGTCCACTCCTACTATGATTTTAGTCCTGGGCCTGGCAACTTAAAAATCCTGCCCAGGGCGTGCATGTGCATGCCCAAAATCCCGAGAGTGAGAAGAGGGATAATGGCGTGGCCATCCTCCTTAATTGGGAGAGTGGTTTCTCACTTTTCCTCTCTCTGTCTCTCTCCAGTGAGCACACGTGCCATGTGGCAAAAACAGAAATAAATTAAAATAAATAAATAAATAAATGTGTTAGAGTCCATGCATTCTAACATAATCATTCTATGGAGAGAAGTTCTTTACATTATGATGCAAGTCTACTCTTGAGTTTTTTCTATACACTTGAATTTATAGGTTATCTGTAGAACTAATTGGATTTAATAAAAAGAAACCTTATGAAGCAGTATTATTATGGCTTACATTAAACACATATTTGATGGGACAGAAGGGGTATGCATTGAAAAACTACCTTTATACAATCCATTTAAGGAAAATCAATAACTCATATGAAATTTTCATCTTATACAAGGTAGATCCGTTTGCTTAGAGATTTTTTCATTGTATGAAAAAAAATCCTTGTAACTGCGCTCTTCTGCTTTATCATGTGACTCAGATTGCAAAAATTATGTTTATACTTTATCATGTGACTCAGATTGCAAAAATTAAGTTTATACAGAAATTCAATGAAAATGTCATGAATAAAGCAAGATGTACTTATAATTTGTTTTTAATGCTGATTTAACATTGATGGTTATAAATTAAAAATTAGATCATTTAAATATTTAGCATTTCATTGTAATTTCTTAGCTGTAGTTCTTGGTGCTTATGATTTATTTGGTAGCTATTTACTGAGTGAAGGTTACATACTAGGATCTCTGCCAGATATGGGTGTTTCAGCTGTGAACAGCTCGTGGTCTGACTCTTAAGGGAACTTAAGGTACTTGAGGTAAACAGGCAATTATAATTTAAGTATGATAAGGACCGTAATAAGTAAACTTACGTTGGCCATTGGGGTACCTAATCTGCTCTTGAGGGTTCAAGAATATTTCAGTTGTGATTTGAAAGATAATTAAAAGTTTCACAAACGAATGTGCAGTCAATTAGATTGAGTAGAGGTTGGAAAGTTATTGTAGAGAGGTAGCATCAGTTGTAGCTCCAGAATTTCTTTATGTAAGAGGAGTCATAGCCTGGTTTAAAAGAGAGTACAGGAAGTAAGGAAGTTTTATCTTAAATTTGTTTTCTTGAAATGATTTTGGAAACTTTCGTATAGAGGAAATGGTAAAGCTCTCCCAGTCCACACTGTGGAGCCACCACTGAATAACATGTACAGAGAGATGGGGAGATGGAATGGTGAAGAACTTTGAAGAATTTCAGTGTCAGATCTTCGAGAGGAGTAGAACGGGAGGAATAAAAATAAAGTTGTGATAAGTGGGTAAATCATGTTAGGTATGGCCATTGTACTTTGTTCTGAAGGCAGGAGGACCATTTGTAGGAATTTAAGCAGGTAGTAAAATGTCCACATTTCTCATTTTAAAAGATTACTTGGGAATACAATCAGGATGGGCATAGAGTATTATGGTTGTGAGATTGTAATAGGAATCCAGGTGAGAGATACAGGTGACTTCAGTTAGGGAAGTGAGAGAGAGGGTAAGAAGGAAGAATCAATAGCTCTTGTTGATTTAGTGGATGTAAGAGGTGAAGATGAACAAAGGTTAATGCTCAGGTGTCTGGCTTGCAAAACTGAATATTTGCTATTCACATAGGCAGACAAAAAAGAGAAGAAGCAAGTGTGGGTGGGGAGATGACGAATAGAGTTTTGATACTGAATTTCAGGTACCTGTTACATATTTAAAAAGAAATGTCCATTGACACATGAATATATTAAGGACACAAATGTCCAGGCAAACACATGAATCTAGTGCTCGAAAGAAGGATCTGGGTGAAGATGGACTTTGAAATGACCAAGTACTCGAAGTGGCAGGTTTGAGTAGACGGGGAATTGGCTAGAAGATAGAGTGAGAAGAGGGCCCAAGACGAAGTGCAGAGAAAGGGCTGCCTACCTAGGAGTTCAAGTTGAGTCGAAAAGGTCAAAGACATACCAGGACCTTGTGGACAGAATCATCACAGGCCTGGGAGAGAATGTTTCAGGAAGGAGTAATACAATAGATATGCAATGCCAAATGCTTCTCAGAGTACATTAAACAAAATAAAAATTCAGCTGAAGACTTTGGGTATCATAGCTTAAACCATACATTCATCCAGAATGTTTTGTAATTCCACGGTTAGGTTTTTCAGAGCCAAGCAATGAAAAGATTCACTTTCATCTTGTTTCTTCATTGGCTGTGTTATAGAAGCTAAACCTTAGATACCATTTATTTATTTATTTTTATTCCATGCTATTCAAGATCTTGTTTTTTAAAAAGGTTTTTTTTCTGATTATAAAAAAATGATACATGTTCATTGCAAACAATTCAAGTAATGTGTACAGAAACTTAAAGTACTAACTTTAGGAGATAATATTTTCCTTTTCTTTCCAGATAATTCTATTAATATCTATAGATAGATAGATAGATAGATAGATAAATGACATCTAGTATGATCTTAGGTTTTATTCATTCAGACTTTTAAAAATATTATACATCTTTTCATGTCAGTAGAGATAGCTCTAGGTACTATTTTAAAATTATTGCAGAGCATCATGTGATATATATGCATGTAAGTATATATTTGGTAACCAGTTCTCTACTAATAGTTAGGTAGTTTCCAAATTTTAGTCATTCAGTTAGCAAGGGGTATCAGTAAATCTCTGTATAGTTCTGTAATGTACTAGCAAGTCCTTGAAGTGGTAAGTGTCTAAAGTTACGGTTTTTTGTTTTATTTTGTTTTTTAGTTTTTGCTAGCACATATGTGCTTGAGAAAAAGAGAGGGATAGAAAGTAAGAAATCATTTCCTCCTCCCCAAGGGAGATGACCATGCCACAGTCTCTTCTCCAGTCTTTTCTCAGGATTTTGGGCATGAATGCACACCCACTCGGTGTGATTTTCAAGGTGTGGGCCCTGGACTCAACCATGCAGCTGACTGTAACCGTGCCTTAACGTCCATTTTACCTGCTGGCTCAGGTTCTGTAGTTTCAATAGTCGTATTTTATTATTAAATCAGGTTAGATTATAAAACTAATACATTCTTTTTTTTTTGAGAGGTTTTTGCTTTAGAGCATGTGCATTCACCGGAGAGACAGAGACAGAAAGCAAGAAATCCCTCCCCCCTCGGGGCGGGGGGATGGCCATGCTGCAATCCCTTCTCCTCCATTCTCCTCTTGTGATCTTGGGTACGCATGCACACGTGCCTGCTGTGAGTTTAAGCCACCGGGTCTGGTACTTGAACCACGGTCGACTACATGGGAGTCCAGTGACATAGCTCTTACGCTAACTGCTGGTCCCAAAACTAGTATGTACTTATGAAAAGTAATTTAAACAATATATAAAGATACTCAGGAGATAGGGACCAGCAGTTAGCATAATGGCTATGTCGGTGGACTCCCACGTAGTGGACCGTGGTTCGCGTTCCGGACCCAGTGGCTTAAAACTCACACCGGGCGCCTGTGCGTGTGAGAAGAGAATGGAGAAGGGATTGCAGTGTGGCCAGACCCCCTGGGGGGTGATTTCTCGCTTTCTCGCTTTCTCGCTCTCTGTCTCTCTCTGTCTGTCAGGCTAGCGCACACGCCCTATAGTGAAAACTTCTCCAAAAAAAAAAAAAGATACTCAGGAGAATCTGATTCCCCCTTCTACTTCAGACTTAATTTTACTGTTTAGAGAGTCATTGACTGCAGCTCCTTCTATAAATGGATATAGAAATGTGTGTATATATGCATGCGTATGTGTATATATGTGTATATATATAGAGAGAACATACTAGACTTCAAAATTTAATACTTTATTCTTTTTACACAGATACTGTGTGCATGTGGAAACATTTTAAAATAATTTTTTTATTTTATTTATTTGTTCGTTTATTTTATTCTGACTAGAGAGAGAGAGAGAGAAGGGAAAGTGAGAAAGCAAGTCACCAGATCCAGGACTCGAACTGTGGTTGGCCATGTGGGTACATCCAGCACCTTAACCACCATGAAACCTGCTGGCCCCAATGGAAACATTTTTTTCTTTTTTTGCAGAGTTCTTTTGCTGTAGGGCATGTATGCTCGCCAGACAGACAGAGACAGAGAGACAGAAAGCGAGAAATCACCCCCAGGGCGAAGACCACACTGCAATCCCTTCTCCTCCATTCTCCTCTCGGGATCTTGGGCACACATGTAAACATGTACAGCATGAGTTTAAGCCACCGGGTCCAGGACTCGAACCGCGGTTGACTACGTGGGAGTCCAGCAACATATCCATTACGCTAACTGCTGGTCCCCCAATGGAAACATTTTAAAATACGTGTTTTTTTGGACTTTGCTTTTTTAGTCCTTAGGTTTTAAAACTCTCCATCAGCA